TAAGGTGAAGGAAGAAAGTAGCCTACTGCATATCTTCATTATAGCAGCTAGAAATCACCGAGCAGGTTCGTGACGGTGTTGGCGGCGAACATGCTCGCCCGTGTGTGGGTCTGCGAGCCTTCGTACCCACGAGCATGTTGGGCTCGGCGCTCAGCTCGTTGGACTGTCACAGCAGAAGCAAGAGTACTCTGCGGTGGTGGCAAGCAAGTTCGCGAGCATGCTCGACCGTGTATGGGGGCAAGTCGGCATATTGTTCTTGCTTGGGAAAAAGATGTCCCAAACCACAAAAGTTGCAATAGCAACTTTATTGTTACAGCAATGGGGTGTTGTAATATATATATTTTTAAATTATAAACACCATAACATATTAATTTTGATCAAAACCAGCTTTTCTCAAAAAATCTGATTTTTTTAAATTTTAATTTTTTGTATGGGAAAATAACATAAAGTTACAATAACTTTAGAACCGTAACTTTTACGGAAATGGGATTTGTACCATTTTATTCAGAATTTAAAGGCCTATAACATACTAAAAATTAAAAAAAAAATCGTTAGGCCATTTTTTTTTTAAATCTAATTTTTCCGTTATTTTATGGGGCTTTATGGGAAAACCCCCATTAAAAATCAAAATTTCAAAAAAATTAGAAAAACTTTTAACATTTTAAGGAGCATAACATATTAAGTTAAATCAAAACCGGCTTTTTTATAAAATCCTATTTTTGAAATGAAATGAAAATCCTTCTTTATTGAGGCGAACTTAGGACCTCATGGTCCTTTCTTACAGTTAACCTCTAAAAAACTAATGATAACAACAAAATATTAACAAAAAATACAACACAGTTTGTAACAAAACAAGTTATAAAATATCATAATTAATCTTCCCTAACATATAATATCCTTTCAGCGTCACCATCAGTCGGGATCGGTTTTCTATGGATTTAATGTGAAATGGTATGGAGTTCCATAGGCGGCATGCTGTTACTAAAAATGATTTGTTATAAACAGTTGTTCTGTGATGAGGAATGCAAAGCGTGGACGAGCCAGAGCGGGTATCCCTTGCGCCTCTTTCATTCAACAATTTAAAATTCTTTGCATGATAATTTGGAATTCCAAGATTGATGGGCGAATGAGTAATGAAAAGTATTTGTAATTTTCTGATGTCTTCTAATTTCAAAATTGATTCATTAATGTAATAGGGTGTGACATGGTCATCACGCCTAAGATTGAACAAGAATCGAACACAATAACTTTGTACTCGTTGTAATTTTGTTGCCAAAACCACAGTCATATCATTAACCACAGTATTGCAGTAGTTGAAGTGTGGAAACACGAGTGATTTGACCAGTAAGAGTTTAATGTGAAAAGGTAGAAGTCGTTGCATCTTCTTCAGTGTGTGAACAGCGGCAAACACTCTTTTACAAGTGCTTACCACCGCGTCAGTCCAGTCCAATGTTCGGTTTAAAGTTAAAGTCAAACCAAGACTTTTTACTTTGTCCTGGTATTGCAAAGTGGTTCCGTTTACAGTGATTTTTGGTAAAATGTTTAAGTCCACTTTGTTCATCAAGTGTATAGTTTCATTTGCATTGCTCACTTTAAAATGAGAATAGATTTGCAAGTCGTCAGCGTACAAATGAAACTTTACATGGTGTAGAACTGTACTGATGTCATTGATGTAAATGGTGAAAAGCAGAGGACCAAGAATTGAACCCTGGGGAACTCCGCAGGGAACATGTCTCCAGTCGGACGTCAAGTTGTCACGACACACACACTGCTTTCGGCTCTGAAGTTATGATCTCATCCATTTTAGTGAATTATCAGAAAAACTTAAAAGTTGGAGTTTAGCTCGAAGAATGCTATGGTTTACGGTATCGAAGGCATTACTGAAGTAAAATAATGTTAAAATAGTGAATTGGCTGCGATCCATAGCATATCGTATGTCATCAGTTACATGAAGTATTGCTGTTTCAGTGCTGTATGATTTACGAAAACCTGATTGAAAGCTATTGAGGATGTTATTTTGTGCCAAGAAATCAGAAACTTGAGAGAGAATGACTCTTTCTAGTGCTTTAGAAAGGGCGGGAAGAATGCTAATTGGTCTGTAGTCTTGCGGGAGAGATGGGGATGAGATTTTATTCAAGGGACGGACAAGCGCAGACTTCCACTTTTCTGGGAAAATACCTGATCTTAGTGAAGTATTAAATATGAAAGTTAATGTTGGGAGGAGAGCAAACAAGATTCGTTTAATTAAAGAAATTGGGATTCTGTCAGAACCGGTGGAGTCAGACGTTAACCGCCTTTATAGCCTTCAAAACATCAATTTGCAATATTGGCTTGAAGTTAAATTTAGTGATGGAATTTGGTAAGGGACGTAATTTTAACTCAGTTAAATGGTTCTGAATTATTGTACCGTTTGCCTGTGATGAAACTGATAAAAAATAATTATTCAAATCGTTCAAGGGAATTGATATGGGAACAACATTAACTTGCTTTTCAAATCCAAAACGTTTTAGATTACGCCAGCAAACAGCAGAGGATTGTTTTCCTTCGGAAAACAATCTATGAAAATATTGGAGTCGAGCATTACGTAAATGTTGTTTTACTTGATTTCTAAGCTGGCGGTAGTGGGCCATAAACCCCTGATCCCTAGTTCCTTTTGCTCTGCGATGGACTGAGTCCCGCCGAGCCATTAAGCCAATGATCTCCTCACTAATCCAAGGAACGGATCGACTTTTACTAACCCTACGGTTGACAATTGGAGCGTGTTTGTCATATAATTTTTAAATGGTTTCATTAAGTGAATCGACCATAACATCAACTGACTCCAGGGTATGTATGGGAGTGCCAAGGTGTTAAATTTACATCAGACAAAAAATTTGCTTCATTAAAATTTATAAAATCTCTGTAAGAGATAAGCTTTTGTTTGGGCTTGGGAGGTCTCGTGGCAAGGGCACAATAAATTAGGTCATGTCAAGAAATGGCAGGGATTGGAAGCTGGCCATGGTGGACTGAAAATTCGGGATCACTTAAAATAATAAGGTCTAGTAGGTGTCAGCTTCAGCAGTGTGATGGGTCGGGTCCAGTGGTAGTATCGTCATGTTGCAAGAGTCAAACATGTTTGTCAATTGTCTGCAATCGTAACGTCCAGGTTTGAGAAAGTCACAGTTAAAGTCACTCATGATCAAGACACGACTGTAGTTCGACATGAGGCCCAAGAGAGTATTTTCAAAGTCGGCCAAACGCCCTACTCCCGGAGGGCGGTAACATGTCCCCAGGAGAAGAGCATCCGAACCACACAAACGAATTTCCAAAAAAATGAATTCGGGTTTAGCAGAGTCCACCCGGGGACTCGTACAACTGCCTGGCTTGCAAACCGTCCTTAACAGCAACGCCGCCACCTGTTTTTCCTAAGCGATCATTTCTGAAAACGGAATAGCCAGGTAGTGCGATCAACCCAGGCGAAATACTCGGCTTCAACCAAGTTTCTGAAACTGAAATGATTTCAAAATTTTGAGTCCGAAATATTTCTCTGACTTCGTCAATATGTTTTGTGAGGGATTGAGTATTGATGTGAGCAGCTTTGAATTGTTTGGTAAAGGGAGCGAGGTTGTTGATAAGGATCTGGGCGTTATCATTATGGAGAGGAGCGGGCGGGGGAGGGATGACTGAGGCGACACTGTGCAGGTCCGCTATCCTGGACCTACAGCTCGGACCCGCGGTGAGGCGCCGACGACGCGCACCGGCGTAGCTGCAACAGACACATTCACACACACACATACTCGGGATATAACACACAGTAATTAACATAAGCTACTATAGAGAAAGACTTTAGCATTCATCACTGACGAACAAACACGATTAGCTTTCAGCTCCTTATTCAAAATTAAATGTACACAAATTGAAATGAACTAAAAACTTTAAACAGGCTTTTAAAACAGAGATACGAATCCTATACTAAAATACATGTGAAAAAACAAATAGGTAATAATAATAATAAATGTAGTTATTTAAAATACGAATGTCATGGTTTTATATAAATTAACATAATGATTGGTATTACAGTATAAGCATTTGAAATAATTATCATTGATATGCCGTGATCTGGCAATGAATCTAGTAATTTCTAATTTCTATTTTTCGCTATTTTATGGGGTTTTTATGGGAAATAACATAATTTACAATAACTTTATAACCGTAATTTTTACAGAAATGGGAGTCGTACCATTTTGTTTAGATTTTAAAGGGCTACAACATACTAAATTTTTATCAAAATCGTTCAGGCCATTTTCCCCTTATTTTATGGGAAAATCAACATTAAATAAAAAAAATGAAAATACACCTGGAGATACCATGGATTAGAACCTACACACCAAATTTCATCGAAATCGGACCACAGGTCGGTCCCTAGCTCTGTACACATCCAGACACACACACACACACACAGACATCACTTTTAAAACCACTTTTTTGGGTCCAGGGGGACCCAAAACGGATACATCCACTCAAAACTCAAACTCGAAAATTTTGACGAAAACAATACTTTCTCCATATACTTACTCTATGGTATAGGGGGAGAAAGTAAAAATTTTTTGATGTAAGCTACAAATTTATTGAAAGTATAGCTGTTTAGTTGTAATATCATAACATATTGTGCACTTCTTTTCCACTTCAGTTACTCTAGCTGAACCATCGTGGTAAAAAAAAAAAACTTAAAAACAATTAATTAGCTGCAGAGCTTTGCTTTCAGAACCTTACAGAACTTGCAAGCTGAAGACTGGAGTTGTTTTTTCAAAAGGCAAGCCCAATGTTTACTATAGTTCGGCCGCTTAGAAAACGACCTGCGCGCTAATGCTAAACCAATGCTGGAGGAGGTCGCTTTCTAAGCGGCCGAACTATAGGTTCTTTTAGGGATGCAAATGCACCATTAAATCCTTTTTTCTAAATATAAAAAGAACAAAATCAAATTGTATAAAGGCACAGATAAGTAAAACATAGTTTGTTACCATATGAAGCTTGAGGATTGAGTACTGAGCCATCACTTGTCAACCACTCAAAGTGTGCAATAGGCAGAGAAGGACACCCCTCTGCTGTTGGGTACTGGACCAAGAAGGTTGCTAATGTGATCAATAAACTCAACACCACCATTCCTTATCTTCTTTAACCATTATCACAATGCCTGAGCAACAACTCTGAAAATGTCAACAACGAAATAAGAGGCAAACAATACTATAACACCTTTATGTTTAGCTGTCAGGACCATTGCAGTTTTATACCCTTTGTGTGGCTTATTCGCGATAACAAGAGGAGAAAGGTTTATAATAACATACAGCTCAATCAATAATGATAGCACAAATTATCTCAAAATGTGAGTGCATACAAATTGTTACTGAAATAATAAATTGGGTTTCCCTAACTTAGTCAAGTCAGAATTTATAACTAAAGATAAGAAAGAAAGCAAAAAGAAGCTCGCTTCTTAAGAATATGTTAGCTATTATAAATTGAACTGATAAAAGAAGTTTTACAAAGTATGTTCTGAACTAATTTGTATAACTGAACTTGAATAGGCCTATATAAACTTTTATTTTTTTATACAACCCAAAAGTAGCTAGTATTTTAAAATTAAAATCTTTTCTATGTAACTATAATAATCAAAGTTTACCCTGTAAAAAAAAAATACCTGGGTGTGTAAAAGGTAAATTATTAGCAACCACTTTCCTTTGTGGGTATTCTTATAATGAAAACATTTTGTACATTTGTTAACCATATGTAACAGTTTTTCAAGATGTTTACCGGTACTGTCATTTTGTAACTTCTTTGAAGCTAGTTTGTAACAGCTACACTGGAACTCATGTAAACTGGGCTGGATCAGTCACCTTCCATCCAAATGTTAGGTGTCGTGTTAGATCTAATAAGCAACAGGCATGACAAAAGTGTTTCTTTGAAACATTAAACCATGTTGTGTATAGGCTATCTAAATGTTTTATTGAAACTACAGGGCCAACCTTGCTGAAACTATTAAAGAAGTATATATAATGGATGATAAAATATAGTAGTAGTATACTTACTGTATGAATCTCAGTTTAAAATTTGAAAGGGACAAACACTTTGCACAACTAAATCATGGAACAATTGTCATATCTTTGTTTTGTACTGATAAAATATTATCTTAAATAGATTACCTACACTGTCTTTTCAAGATAGTTAAATTTATAGAGTATGATTATTGTTGATGAAGTTGTGACAGTAGTTTGTACATGTTATCTTCATCACTGCAAAATAATATTGTGCTATTCAGCGCCACTTCAAACCACTCAGCCGGGAAATGTATGTGATAAACAATGGTTTCGGAGAAGTAATTGATCATTATTTAAGTGCTTACTATCCTGATTTCTCAATTGATTCACAAAACATTTTTTTGTTGCCAGTGAATATAAACAGAAGATTTGGCTAATAGCTGAAAACTGGACCCAGCCGACCTTGATCATTGGGCTTACAGTTAATGGTATTAGTAAAAGAAATTACAGTACATTTTAAGCGAGGGGTCTTAATGAGAAATTCCTATAATAATATTAGTCTTTTGAAATACCTTCAAACTTTGAACCTAGGCTTTTATTTAATCACATTCACATTTCAAAAATTAAATATATATTAGCCGTTATATATTTGTTTTTATTTGTAATTTCTTTAACTTTTTTTTCTAAATTAACCTTTTAATTCTTATTGTAGATTTTTTATGTTTACCTTAAGATAAAAATATTAGTTTTGTCTCTGTAATACAGCCATACAACATACAAGAGATGTTAATAGATTATTGAGTTTTGCCACTATAATCAATGATGGGTGTGAAACTGTTTTTAATACATAGGAGATTTAAAGAGCCACTTTATTCTCTTCTGTATCCATACCCCGTTGTAAAGCGAGAGTAAAACAACTATAGTTACTATTAAGTTGATCCACAGACTAAAAATACTTACTTCATGATGGGTAGCCTCTGGACCATACAGCAACAATAATAATGGTTTAATTTACCTTTGTCAATTTTGTATATTTTGTAATTAACCTTTGTCACATACGTAAGGACCATATTGACAAAGGTAAATCAAACCATTATTATTAAAAATACTTAAATGTCTCATCTACCTGTGCAAGTAACACATGACATAAAGGTAACACATGCTCAAGCATGCGTCTCAAACCCAATAAGCCAGGATAAAAACAATACAGTTTAAATAATATTTTATTGATTGGTAGTTTGGCTTGAGTATTTAAAAAAGTCCAAAAATACATTATTACTAATAATAGCATATTACACAAGCCTATTACTAGACTTTGTGTAGTCAATATATTTCGTATTAAATTTCAAATACGATTGTCAATAGATGCGATTAAATACAATATTAATATTTATTTACAAACATTCTTATATAGATATTTCTAAATATAAACAATTTTTACAATTACAATCAATAGTTAAAACTTAAACCACTAATAAAAATACATACAGAGTAGTTAAGAATAAGTATTCAAGAAAACAACAGTATTAAAACGTATAAGTAGGATATTTGACTAAATACCACGCAGTTTCATAGTTTTATCAATCAAGAATGCAATACCAAATACAATTCACATACTCATATGAAAATAAAAATTGTTGATGAACTTCAATGTTGCATCTTAATAAGGTTCAATCAATTGACACAAAAAATACAAACTAGAAGTAATTGCAACAATAGAAGATTGAAATATCCAAAGCCTTCAAGAAGGACTAAAGATTTTGATTATCATGTTGTAGCTGTATGTTATAGAAAACTCATCTTCACTAATCTTGTATAATGTCTGGTCTTGCCAGGTCTTCAGTCATTTCATTCACCCACTCCAGCATAAGCACAAACTTGGGTTTATGTTTGTGAATCGGATCTCGTTTGATTTTTTCCAACATTGATGACAAACATGCTCCCATTAAAGTGAGAACCATCTGAAACAATGTTACAATGACTAGAACAATTAACACAATGTTTTCGGACACAGAGATTCTTATAGTTGGCTCGAGCAGTTTTTATGTATTGGTAAATTGGTAAAATACCCCTAAAAAGATTATTGTGTGACAACGACAAAGCTGTAAACAAGGTTATGTTTTTAAGAAAAAGCGTTTAGCTTGGATTAAAGAAATATATAGGATGGAGAGGATACAGCTAACTGACCTGAAGAAAGGTTGCAGACGAGTTACAGCACAAATAAATTATATACACATAAGAGACCTAACGCTTCCTGGACGGGTGATGGATATATCCACCTAAGTCTTTGGCGATAAAGGACGCGGATATATTCGCTTATGGCTTTTCATGTTCCGGACGGGAAGCGGTTATATCCGCCTTCACTTCAGACAGACTGGCAGGTGCTTGAGCAGTAACCAGATGTTTCACGGTACCAAGGCGCCACTTTCCTGCTCTCTCCATGGCTGCGCTCTCTCCCACACTCCCCCCTCTCCCGCGCCTCCAACTCTCCCGCGTACCACGCACCTCTCCTGTGCTCCCCCTCAACATTTCGCGCTCAACACTACGTTGTCTTTATTTATTGTTTACATATTGTTCTTTATTTATTGCCTAACGTTGTCATGGTCATATCTTCAAAGACGGGTGGCAGATATATCCGCTGCTTTCCTACTCAACCGCGGATGGGTAGCGGATATATCCGTATAGTTAAAACAACTAAAAAATTATTTTGACAGTATGAAGTGTTCCATTGTTTCCATTTTATGTATACTGTGTTCCATTTTATGTATACTTGTATAACAAAACACAAATAAGAAAAATTAATTTTTATTTTTTCCCATAATTTTTTCCCGTTCTATGTCACATTTTTTCCTGTCCGGGAAGGGTTGATATTTCACCTCTTTCAGAGGCTTCTTCAGAAGTAGATGGCAGTTACAAAGACAACATTAGTTTAAAATAAGATTGTCACAGTTTGAATTCAAAATGTCTGACAGATTATCCAACTGACACAACAAAAAGGACTAAATACATACATTTTGCAAAAGAGGTAAAATATTAAGTTTTTTGTGTGTATATAATTTATTTGTGGCTCGTCTGCAACCTTTCTTCAGGTGATTTAGCTGTATCTTCTCCATGCTTTATATTTCCTTAAAGCTGGATATAAGAAATTTACATCCAGGTTTGTCGTCTGAATTTTTTGCAATTCCATTTCTGGTATCAACCGGAAACCAAGGAATAACATAGACTGGGAATAACTATACTATACACGTCATAGGCCTTGAAGCCCACTTTCAGTTTCACATTAGGCCCTTCCTCTCTCAGTCAGCTACTGGAGGGTATTTGATTTGTTATTCAATAAAACCAAATTAAAAATATACTAGAGGACCCATGCTGCTCCGCAGCGTTAAAATAATGATTATATCCGAGAAATAATCAAATTTATAATTTTTTATTGAGTAATACGGTATCTTGAGCTTAACTGATTCAAACAATCAATAGCTCAATTTAAAACCTATAATTTACTGATTATTTTGTGTCTAAAACATATAGAAAAACAGGAACAATACTGGAGCCATTGATTTTTAACCATATTAAAACATTATGAAATATAATTTTTATATTGGTTATTCACCTTGCATTTGCTTGAAACTCGTCGGATTTGAATAACTTAAATGAAAGCCAGTATTTAACTGAAGGTTCTTAGACTAAAATATATGGGATTATAAATCTATAACTGGTAAAGGTACATCTTAATTTGAAGTAAGAAATATAAAATAAATCAAATTATGTGTTCTGGTCGTGTAATACTGTAGGTAAATATTTGTAATTGATTGATGGCAAATTTGTGCGTGCATACCTTCAATTTGAGACCTCAATCATGAAAATCGGTCGGGTAGAAGAGCCAAACGAACTCGGCAAAGAAAAACCAAATTTAACTTCCATAAGAAATACATGGGGAGCAAATTTTCATTTGCGTATACACCGAGTGGGATTATAGATAAATATATGTCGATGCTTGATGGTAAATCTGTGCGTGCATACCTTCAATTTGAGACCTAAATCATGAAAATCGGTCGGGTAGAAGAGCCCAACGAACTCGGCAAAGAAAAGCCAAATTTAACTCCCATAAGAAATACATGTGGAGCAAATTTCGTTTACGTATAAGCCTAGTGGGATTATAGATAAATATATGCCGATGCTTGATGGCAAATCTGTGCGTGCATACCTTCGATTTGAGACCTCAATCATGAAAATCGGTCGGGTAGAAGAGCCAAACGAACTCGGCAAAGAAAAACCAAATTTAACTCCCATAAGAAATACATGGGGAGCAAATTTTGTTTACGTATAAACCGAGTAATACTATAGATAATTATATGCCGATACTTGATGGCAAATTCGTGCATGCATACCTTCAATTTGAGACCTCAATCATGAAAATCAGTCGGGTAGAAGAGCCCATCGAACTCGGCAAAGAAAAGCCAAATTTAACTCCCATAAGAAATACATGGGGAGCAAATTTCGTTTACGTATAAACTGAGTGGGATTATAGATAAATATATGCCGATGCTTGATGGCAAATCTGTGCGTGCATACCTTCAATTTGAGACCTCAATCATGAAAATCGGTCGGGTAGAAGAGCCAAACGAACTCGGAAAAGAAAAACCAAATTTTTTTAATATATAAGATTTAGGATATATTTGGTTTTAGAGTTGAGATACAATTTTAATGTTTACAAAAAAAAGGTTTTTTAATCGAGAGCCTGAATTAATTAAAAAATTTACTATATTTTTAATAAATATATAACTCAATCAAATCAAACAATTTGTCTGTGAGAAAGTTTCACGTTTCTCAACCAGACGATTTTTGTCAATGAGAAAATTGTAGGCTAAAATATTTCAAACATATTTCTGTTAAAAATAAAAATTAAAATTTGGATCAGAAAGTGACCATCCTGTTGCTTGGAAGCTGTGCACTATAAGTCACACACTGCTTCCTTCACCACAACTGCCAACCTATGTTATTCTTCTGTCGCTGATATCGACTAAAAACTTTAAGGTTTTACTATACGCTCCCTTCAGGATCATAGAAACTTTAACGCATCTGGACTTTATTAAGAAGGATTTAAAAACTACTATGTTATAATATATTGAAATGATCAAGCAACATTGGATCAATAATTTTTATTATTTATATTTTATATTTATCAAATAAGCTTATGTATCTACTTTAAAGACTATATAATGTACAACGAGCTCACAGGAGGCCAGTCAAGACGGAACAGTGCCACACACTGAGTCTCCAACTGGCTGGGAGTGAGCAGTGGGGGAGAGTGTTTGAGCAGTTCTACCAACACGAGAGACAGCTGCTCCCATGACTCCCGGGCAAACTGCGCACCTCTCTGACACAGCAGCAGTGTGTTACGTGCAGACATGACACGCTCCAGCTGACTACTGCCCTGCGTACTGCAGACACTCCACAGACCACACAGCTGTGATATAACAGCAGAGGTCATTGTCCATGGTGCATACGCCACTGTAATGTACAACAAACCAGATTAAGTTAGGTAAAGAACCTCTGGCTTGTTAAATATTCTACCTGTGGTAATGTGGGGTAGTATGAGTGTAAATGAAGATACCTGGGCCCTATATACCTTCCTCTTACCACTACCAAATCACGTACATTTCCTGTCGTTATTCCATTCTACTGCAAAGAAACTAACTACTTCGTCAAAGTGCACAATATTACCTTAGCTGCATATCACAGCCAGCTTTTATGTTATTTAATATATCTAATTATAATATAGTGAACAGAGAAATAATTATATATCTGGACTTATTCTGATTCGTGAAAAGTAACTAGATTTAGCAAATGTCAATTCTAAATTTGGAATATTGATTACCAAACCACGACCATTGGTGAACCTAATAAATTACATAATTAAAAATAAGTTTGCCCTTGCCTTCACCCTTCCCCAACCCCTACGAACTTATCTAGACATAGTCTTAATGCTAATACTTATCCGGGCTAGTTGAACTGTTGCTGGGACCACGCACGACACTACTGTACTCTACTCTTGCCGCGCGTGCCTGCCTCGGTGAGACTGCGCGTGCACCTAACTGTGTCACGTGAGTTGCGCTATTGTACTTGTAGCGAGTCGCTACATACCTGTGCTACTGTGAAACTTGACAAATCTCTACTCCCCTTCCAATAAGGGGTCTGTGGGTCTCGTTTTAGGTTAGGGCCAGGACAACAGTTGGGCCGTTAATCTATGGAAGGTTTGGGTCAAAAATACAAGGGCAGTTCAGAAATTAAAGAACATTATGGAATAAAATAAGTAGTTTTATCATGACAAATATACACTTAAAATCTATAAATTACAGTTTGCCGTTAAAACATCAAAGACAGATTTTTTGTTCGGTACATTGCATAAAATGATGAAATCTTTGGTTATTTTGAAGTTTCGTAGCATAAAAAGGCCAAAATGAGTCTTATATCTCTATTTCTGTTTGTCTGTCATGCCGAAATGCCAATTTACATGGCCTACTCCAAGAAAACTAGAGTACCGATCAAGATTCAAATAGTTTTCCTGTATTCACTAGATTGGTGAGAACGTCTTTGGCTATTGAACCATAGCATAACAAAACAATAAAAAATAACAAATGTAAATAAACCCAGTTTTGTGCAATTTTTTTTTAAATATAGTCGAACCTAGTTTGTACGAACCTCGATAAAACGAATTCCTCGATAAGACAAATTTTTTCAATCCCCTTGAAACTTTCATATAGGTTATTGCTAAAAACACCTCTATACAACGTAATAATTAAGTTAAAAACCTCAACAAGACGAATTTGTTTGTGACATGGGCTAGGACTGATTAACCTCTATACAATGAATATTCTTAGCACAAAACCTCTACAAGACGAACGTGACCTCTATAAGACGAACTTCTCATAATCTTAACCTCCTAGTACGTAGTTTTCAAAACGAACAGAAGCTTGTCTCAACATGAAACCACAAACCATCCCTCCTCCTTCCTCATTCATTGTTTGGAGAAACCTTGGAGCGAGGAGAAACCAAAGGTAAGAAGAATAACAGCAGCATTAAACCTCGATAAAACGACCCTCTTTATTAAGAATACCTCTATAGAACGGATTTTTTCCGTACCCCTCGAAATTCGTCTTATAGAGGTTCAACTGTACCAATCATCTGTTCAGAGGATATATCATATGTGAAATAAAGATCAGTTGTTAGGAGGGAGATTCTTTCTTCAAACCGCCAGTGATACTTTTACATTATAAGTGGTTTACAAATGGTGAATTATTTGCCAATCCCGTTTTTTAGGCACATCTGAAACAGAGGCGAGATAAATAATAACTTGTGACTTGCGCTGTGTTTGTACTAAATATAAAGTCTAGCCTTTTTATCAATGATGTGGGGAAGTCTCTGAATTCAAAGTTCCTCCTTTTTAAAGATGATGTCAAGATTTACAGACGCAAGTATCTTCAGCTGAACATAATTTTGAACTGCAGGAAGCCCTTGACTCAGTAGTCGATTGGTAATGGAACTCAATGCATCTAAATGTACAGTGATGTCTTTTGGAAGATCTTGGGATCTTCTAACATATATGTTAGATATTCTGAGTGTAAGGATCTTCTGAACATATATTTATATATACATGTATATATATATCTAAATATATAAAACGCAAAGCCCTCACTGACTCACTCACTCATCACTAACTCTCCCACTTCCCATTTACCTAGGAGGCTGAAATTCGGTACACCGATTCTTTGGGCATAAAATAGGAAAACTAAGTAGTTTTTGTTCTGATCGGGCTTTCGGGCTCTGCCCCAGTGGCTCTGGAGTTTTCCATGTTAACCTTGTGATCTTTCATATTTAAAAGAAATTAATGAATCTTAACAGCTGTTTCAATTAAACAAGTTGGTTCTGTTGTATGATGTTCAATAGCATTGAAGTTACAAGGATTACCAACAGGGTGCAGCACTATTATTATTTTTTTATTTATGAAAACATCTAATTTGCAACCAAAAGGTGAGTGAGCGTAGCGAACGAACTTCAACCAGGACGTGATTGAACCATGTGAATACTTATGAAGTTAAACGGGGCAAAGCCCGCGGGTATAGCTAGTATATATATATATATATGCAAATGGGTTAATATGCTCCTCGGATAATATGACATTTTCATTGTTCTGACCATGGTCCAGGTCCCATAGAGGATGGATTAGCGGGGTTGTACTGTACATGTTTATACAATTTTTGGAGCCCTAAAACTACTGCCTTATCAAGGGATTGAAAGTAAAAGAACAATAGGTTGCTAGTAAACTAAACAAATTATACAATCAGAATTTCTAATGAAGTGACCACTCATTACTTACGTAAAACAATACACAAATCCACGGTGAGTGAGAATATTGTTTGTTCAGCAGCAGCAATTAAATCACTTCTATATCTCACAGTGTCCTGCACTCGATTTACAAGGGCTATCACTTGTCCTTCACTCATATCTGAACTTCTCCTCTCTATACATTCACACAGCTTGTCCTGGAAATATTCATCACACAATAGTTAATAGTTAGTTTTATCAGCTTACTGCAAAAGGAAATAATCATGAAATTAACAACATATGAAAGTTAAAGTATAAAATAAGACCCGCCACCACAGCAAACCTGCAGACTAAGCAAATTTCTGTTTGCCTGGTTGGATTATCTATTACTAGGCTACTATAATACCTTAAAAATGGTGATTTCACAAAATGGATAAGAAAGTTGAGTAGTAATGTAATTTAAGTCCGAATGATCTTCAAGGCCAATTTATTGTCCTTTTTATCTCCATTATTATTTAATAGTTTTGTTCCCTGGAATCATAATACTTGTACAGTATGTTCAATGCTTAACTTAAAACTGCAAAAAAATATTTTTTTTCTTTTTACAAACATGTTTATTCTTCTAAAAATAATACCAGAAAACAGACTTGGTTTATCCGGCCAAACCGTTATCCGGCCAGGGGATTGGTCCCGTGGTGGCCGGATATGAGAGGTTCTACTGTAATATTATAAATGTGAAATTTTGTGTGTATGTTTGTTTGTACTTTTAAAATGATAAATTATATGCGTTTCAGAGATCGACAATTTTTGTCGATTCGCCATACTAGCCTCACGTAAAAATTGGCTATTTAGAAAATTGTTTATCAGCTGTTGGAATGTATTATGACATTATACATTATACCAAATGAAAGTTTACTTCCTCCTTGTTGCAGTGGTATCACTTGTCTTTGCTAAAAACAAAAATTACGTCTGCTATGATTTTTTGAAATTACTCATCTTTCACGATTTCACAACAGTGGGGGTGGGGAGTTTGAGAGTTATTTTCATTCAAATTTAACTCATGAGTAGATCGATATACTTATGTTATAAGGCTCATTCTTAAAATAAAATGAAACTTCAGAATCTCACCTTTCCATTGGTATAAGATTTATGTAATTTCACCGACTATAACTGTACGTAAAATACAACGGGAACAAATTTTGTTGGTTGCCACTTCAGCAATACAATTTAAGATCGACATTTTTTGTCAATTGGCCACTCGTAGGGTTAATCGTGTAGACATCATCATCGTAGCCCGTGGTCACAGCATCATCATTATTGTTAACCGTGATCCTGGCCTAATCATATTCATGTAGGTATGATCATCGTCTTCTCATGGTCACAGAAACAACGTCATCTTTTTCCGTGATCCCAACATAATCTTGACCAACTTCCACGGTCTTGTAGACATTATCTTCGTCTCCCGCAGTTAAGGAAAATCATAATTGACCCTCACGATTGTGGCTAAAGCGTGAATTTTTCGATCCCAAAATATTCCATTGCAATTATAAATCTTGGCTCAACTCAGCCTATTTTCTGCTAAATACCTTAAATTTCGGTAAAAACCTAATCATCCAAATTTTTGAATGAACTATCCTACTTTCAAAACTCCTACTTTTTTCCCAATGTATTATTTTAATTGGAGTTCTACTGTATATGAATTTTAACTATACAGATAAAAGTAAATCGGTTCCGGGCCTAGGCCTTGCCATGAGACCTACGGTAAAGGCTTATTCCCTATATGGGAAATTCATTAAAGATACAAACTAATAAACTGTAATGTATGGTGTCTCAACTTTAAAGTAAACAAAAATTCCTGGGCTGGTTGGATATTTTTAAACTTGGTAAAGAAATAACAAAACAAATCGTAACTCCAAAAGTACAGCATTATTACCAAAGATGTGTTACTCAATAGTATTTAACAATTGCTTGGATAAAAAAATATAGGTTTTTAATGATTTACTTCCTTAAATGATTAATTTTCCCTTTTATTATGATGTGTCTTTACCTGCAGTTCAATAATCATATCAGCGGGTGCCACAGCTGAATCTCTATGCTCTACTGTTTCTCTTCCTTTTGATGGCTTTATTAAATCAGTAGTTTGCTTACCTTCAGGAGTAGGAATTAGTTTTGAGAACACATCTGAAATTATATCAATATGTTGTAAAAATTAATGATATCAAAGCTAGTTATAATTTTGATTTGAAGCTAGTACAAAATTTCCTACACAAAAATATATACAATATGACAATATACAATATGTACAATATACAAATATGTACAAAATATATACAAACATACTTGGGTATCACCAGATGGGCATACTGTAAACCAGATTGACCATGTCCTAGTAGATAAAAGACACGCTCAGTTACTCAGGTAAGAAGTCTAAGGGAAGCAGAATGTGGCTCCGATCATTATTTACTTTTGACTAAAATAAGACAAAGGTTGAAAATAGAAAAGGGAGACAAGAACAAAGCAAAAGAAAGAATATTTTTTGAACCAAAAAAGATAAAGGAATACTAAATGGAAATGAAGAACAGATTTTCCATATTAACACAAGATACGGAAGAGGATGTACAAAAAGTTTGGGAAACCATTAAGGAAAAGCTCAACGAGTCAGCTGAAAAAGTTTTTGAGATAGGTAGGATTGTTAAAAAAACCTTGGTTTGGAATGCCAAAAACTAATTCAAGACAGAAGAGGAGCCAGAAAGAAAATCCTAGCAGATAACATCCCAGAGTTAAAGGACAGACATCAAAGACTAAATAGAGAAGTAAAAAAAAAAAAAAAAAAAAAAAACACTAAGAAAAGAAAAAAGAAAGTATGTAAACAACACCATAACTTGAGCAGAGCAGGATTACAACCAAAATAACTCTAAGGACTTCTATAGGTTCTTCCAAAAAGGTTTAAAACCGAACGTAATAGTTGTGGAGAATAGGAATGGATCAGTAAAATGTGAGCCGACTGAAGTTTTAAAAACTTGGAAAGAATACTTTAGTGAATTATTGAATTGCAATAAAGATGTAACATAGAGTAATGAAGATCTAGTTCTGGCAGAGGAGGAAGAATTATCAGGTACTGAAGAAATCCCTTGTACTGAACCCACAATACAAGCAATATAGGATGTTTTAAAAATATTAAAAAATAGCAAAGCGACTAGATCCCAAAAGAGTTTATTAAAAATGGAGCAGAAGAACTATTAATTAATATACAAAAACTGATTCTACAAGTATGGATAACTGAAAAAAATACAAAAGAATGTTCTGAAGCTGAAGCATTTGTAGTTATGCTGCACACAAAACTAAACTGCACACAAGCTAGAAAGCAAGAACTATAGACACATCTCTTATAAATAAAACATCCATACATACAATATAAAATAAAATAGTATCTAAACTTGTTCTAAACAGACTTAAATGTCATGCAGAAGAAATAGTAGGAGACAACCAAACAGGTTTTATGAAAGGAAGATCAACAACGGACCAAATATTTATTATAAAACAACTAGCCTCAAAGTACTGGAAATATAACAAAGATATATAATGATCATACCTTATATATTCATTTAATACCCAAATGAAGTTGGTTCATATGTTTTGGAATAGATAATCAAATCATCTACAAAGTTAATCACAAATTTAAACTTTATGTCTTTCAAAACTTCGTTAAAGATAACTGCTAAGCAATGAAGATCCTAAATGCAAACCATACGGAATTCTACAAAATCTCATTTGTGAAAAAGGTGTTACAAAAGCAGTATAGTCTCTACAGTTTTCACTAAGTTTGATTTGGTGGAAACTATTACATAAATCAATTAGACTGAAATATTCGCTTCCTTGCAAATAATGATAAATGTCATTCATATCCCCGATAGGATAATTTACTCTCTCTATCTTTTTATTTAATTCAGAGTAGTTCACCACAAGTCTATATTTATCACTATTAGGTTTTTTCACTAGGAATGTTGGACTGGCATAGCTTGATAAGGAAGGTTCTACAATTCCCTGTTGAACTAAATCATCGATTAAATCCTTCATAATTTGCATTTTATGGGGATTGAGTTGATATGGTCTAAGGTTAACAGGCTCCTTGTCTTTAAGCTTGATTTCATATTCAAAATTTATAGCTTCACCTATTTGATTAGTAAAAACTTTTGGAAAATCTGAGATTAGTTTTGTAATGTCTGTAGTAGCTTTATTGCATCCAATTTTAATTTTACAGTTCTCATTAGCTACTATTACAGAAAAATTTGACACAAACTCTACTTTATAATTAGGTTCAAATGCAAAGTAACATTGATCTTGACTTAAGTTAAGTAACATTTTACTCCTCTTGATGAATTCAGCTCCTAATATAATGTTGCAAGCTAGATCTTTAGCAATGATAAACTCTAAATTCCAAGAAAACTTATTTATCTTGATTTTAATTTCACACTTGCCTATTAATTGCATTTTAGTATTAGCTGCTGTTTTACAAAAGATTTCAGGTTCGCATACGTTACTGATAACATGGTACTTACTTAACTTGTTAAACAATCGTTCACTAATTATGTTTACTGAGCTACCTGTGTCAATTAAAGCATTTTCAAATAGATTTGGTTTAAAACATACTTTAACAGTTGGTAGAATACTATAAAATCCTCCATTTTCCTTTTTTGTAATAGAAATTAATTCATTCTTAAACTTGCACTTAAATTGTTTCTTCTCTTGGACATTTAGATACCTTTTCTTCCTTTTAGAATTAAAAAATACTCTAGTTTTATTCTAGGAGAGCTCTTGTTTTACTTTTGCGAATCCGAAGCTCTCCCCTGAGCCTCGTTTTTTGTAAAGAACCTTGATGACTGATTTGGGGCATGACTATTACCATGGGTATATAAGGAAGGTCGATTTATACTTCCTTATATTTCCTTGTCGATTTATACTTCATTTAAGGAAGTAAATCATTAAAAACCTATATTTTTTTATCCAAGCAATTGTTAAATACTATTGAGTAACACATCTTTGGTAATAATGCTGTACTTTTGGAGTTACGATTTGTTTTGTTATTTCTTTACCAAGTTTAAAAATATGAATGCCTACTCATAATGATCATAGATTTTAGTAAAGTTTATGATTCAATAAAAAGATAAGAACTGTGGAAGATTATGAAAAAGCATGGTTTACCAAACAAAATAATTCAACTGTCAAAAATGTGTTTAAATGAGTCCAAAGGTAAAGTAAAAATAGGAAAAGAATATGCAGATACATTCAACATAAATACTGGAGTAAGACAAGGTGATGGTCTATCACCACTACTACAGTAGACCCCCTCTTAACCGACCCTAATGGGACCGGACCTAGGTCGGATAACTCAAAAGGTCGGTTAAAACGGGCAATCCCTAAAATCATAACATAATGAAGTGCTATTCATTTGGAATTATATAATCATTATTTTGTAATCATACTTGCATTATTTATGAAATAAACTACTCTTATCTCCTTTTTCGTATTTTGATAGAAAAGTAAAAAAATAAACACAAAACACAACTAAGCCAAATAGGCCTACTTTCAGCGGAATATATTATAGTAGGTACTAGGGAAGAGTCAATAAAAATTCCCATTTTAATAACTTTAGTACTGTAATGTAATTAATTGATGCTTTTAAAATCCAAACAGTAGAGAACCTTTTGTCGAAATTAAAGATACAAGCAACCATTTTGTTACAAGACAGGATGTTTATTTATAGCCTCTCACTGGAGGCTCCAGGTACAAAAACTGTCTTGACCTTGGAGTTGTTAACCCCACTTCCCTGCCATCCCTACAAGTTGCGTTGTTTGTTTACTCCAGCGATAAGATAATCAGTTCTCAAAATCGTAACGCACTTTACGATGTTATAAATTTTCCGCAAAGATAACATACTGACAATATGCTATATTTTTTGTGATCAATACAAAATAACTTAATCTTAGTCATATCCTGTGGAGATAAGCGTATGGTTCAGTTCTCATCGCCTAGCGTGGGGGGCCGAAATTTCTAGAAAGCGGCGGTTAAACCGAACTGCTCTCAAAGCAAGGTCGGTTAAAACAAACTGTATTATTTTACGATTGAAGGCAGATAATCCGATTATCGGTTAATACGAGGTCGGTTAAGAGGGGTCTACTGTATTCAACATAACGCTAGAGGAAGCTCTTCAGGAAAAAAAGTAGTCAAGGGGGAGCAAGGATTCCTGATAAAAAAGTAAAAACCTTGTAGCGCTTGCAGACAATGTGGCCATTGTAGCTGAAAATAAAAATGATCATCGAGTGATAACAGAAATACTAATAAAAGAAGCAAGAAATGTGGGCTTACAAATAAATGAGAGTAAAACAAACTACATGTGAATAAGTAGATAAGATGACGAGGAAAATCACTAGGAAGTAACTACAGGTTCCGTAAAGCAAACACATTTAAGTATCTGGGAGTAACAATCACGAACAATAACAGAGAAGGTGTTTACATTCAAAACAGACTAGGGGTGTGCGAATACTCGAATCTTCGAGCTTTTTGGTCAAGCTTTTCATTATTCGGCTCGGCTCGAGACATTTTGAAAAAGCTCGAAGTTCGAGCCGAGCTTTTAATACTAAGTCAAAACACTTAATTTGGGTCATAATTGAAAACAATGTTATCACAATTCTACGTTGTTCATGCATTCGAGGTTTATGATAAGCACGAACCTCAGCTCAGTCAAGACACAATGATTATCGATCGTAATTTTGAGGAGATAGGAAAGAGACAAACGACCAACTATCGCGTTGTCTTTCTAACAGCTATTCGTAATATACAACGCAGTGCGAGTGCGTGATTGGCTTGTCGCTATGACGACACACGGTTGCCGTGACAACCTACAGTGCGCACTGAGCACTGCGCCTTGTGTAAGAGGGGAGATTATACCAACAAACAATTTCAGGAATTATTCTATTTTGGGACGGATGAAAGATAAGGAAGAAACAAAAAGTGGTCACGTGTGCAAATGTAGTGGGCGACACAATAAGGCTGTAAACGAGTATCATCGTGTCATTGTTCCTTGTTTGTTTACTTTTTCACATTCCTTATCAAACGCCCCTATCTGCTATCTCTCTTTCTCTCTCTCTCTCTAACAATGTACTGATTAAACAGATTGTGGT